GTGCCTTGAGGCAGTTGGGGTTTCTAAGGCTATATTTGATGAAAATGTGATTAGAGGTTTCCTTACATTAGATCCTTAAAAGCAGAGCCTGAGACAGGGATTCTTGCCCAAGTGATGTGTTGGGAAGAACTCTCTAAGAGAAGATGAGGGAGGGAAGCAGATGGGACAGGGGAAAGAGCCAAGTGGAGGGGTCTCAGCTGGAGACGGGCTCCAGCCTGATCCCACGGGGACCTCCGGAGCACAAATTGCACCACAAAGTTGGTCCCACCTTGAAGCAAAGGGGCTAGTCTTCTGTACCCCCATGTCAGTCAGACATGGGCAGGCGGCACTAGGCTGCTGCAGTCAGTCAAGGGCAATTCTATAAAGAAGCGAGCACCTGTGAGCCCTTAGCAGCCCACCTCGGAGCAGCTGAGGGATGGAGATGCCAGCCAGGCAAAATGGACTTGGGGTTACTTGGGGGAGCCTGGGTAATCGTGAGCTGATTACAGCGTGGGTCAGGGTTAATGTGCAGGAGCAAGTGACACCGAAGCCACTAATGATGATGGCAGGATTTGTGGTGGGGATGAACGCTATGGGCCACCTAGCAAAGACTTCAGTGACTGTGGGGGTGTGACCAGGAGGGCCAAAGATGACATAGAGGAGGAGGGGGAGAGGGTGGCAGAGCCAGGCTGCATGATCCTCAAATCAGCAAGGATTTTGACACAAGGAAGCAGGAGAAATAAATGAGCCAAAACTTGAAAACCAGTTGGACCCCTGCAGGCCCTCCTTGAACCAAGCTGGGGAGGTCCGCCCGCACCAGGACTGTAACTGCCGCAGCAAGGATCCTTGAGGCTGTATTGCCTGATACCTAACATGTAGGAATCTGTAAGTTCTATGAAGACAGGGACCTTATCTCTCCGGCTTACCAGGCTGGCCTATTAAATACATATTTACTGAATGAGTCAATCAATTCATCCATATTTCATCATCTCTCAGTGGAGGCCACTAGCGTAGTGACAAAGAGCACACGGCTTGAGGTCAGACATCTGAGTTTGAATTCTGGTCCTGAGCCTTTGTTTTTACATCGGCAATGCTGTGAAGACTAAATGAGCTAATGATGGATGTAAAGCACGAAGCATAGTACTCGGCAGGTGGTAAATTCTCCATAAACGGCCTCCGTTGGTAAAATCCCTTTCCCAGGAAAGCTCAGAGCTGTCCTTGCGGGGTGACTGGGGGATGCGGGTGTGTGGTGGGAAGGGCGGAGGAAGGAGCGGAATACAGCTGAGGTTGCGCCCAAGCCTCTGCGTACCCAACTGGCCCAGCCCGGGGCGGAGTCTCCTCCAGGCCGGGCGGGGGCCGCGCCGTGCCCTGGAGGCACCACGGGACCGGGCCTGCCGTGCGGCTGCCGTCGGCTATGGCGAGCGCGGCCCGGGGGTCGGGCCCATGGCCCCCGCTCCGGCTCCGGCTCGGGCTCCGGCTCCGGCTCGTGGTCCAGCTCGCGGCGCTGCTCGGGACGCTCGCGCCACAGGTGAGAAGCGGGACAGGCGCGGAGCCTCCAAGGTCGGGGCCGGGGCGCGGAGGGCTGGGGCACGGCGGGGCAACAGGGGGCGCCTCGCCCCCTCCCGGGTCCGGGTCGCCCCAAGTCGGCCCCTGGCCACTGAAAACCGCCTAGCTTTGGGGAGTTACCCGGTTGCCCCCACTAACACCTAGCTGAAAAGACATGCCAGCGTGGAAGGGCGCAGGTGGACGGAACACCCCGCCCCTCCTGCAGGTGGAGGGAACAGCCGGCGGGTGGGTGCGCCTGGTTTCACTGCCATACGTCTAAAACGTCTGGGACCCCGGCTTTCTCGGAACATGTTATCAACATAAGGGTCCTCCGTCGAGAAACGCGCCCACACACCCGGTTCAAGGCAAATTCAGGCAGGTGACAACACGCCCCTTACCTATGACTGGACCAGAGGTTCCGAACCTCTGAGATAAATAAGTAGATGTGGGGATCTGGTCCAGCTCTGCCGGGAGCAGAAGGGTCCAGTCTTACAGAAATTCAGCAAGGCAAAGGCGCCCAGACTAGAACCCACGTGTCCAGCCTGGAGCCCCCAGAACAGCTAACAGGATGGTAGGGTTAGCTGTTCCTGCCGTCCCCAGGCCCCGCTTCCAGCTCTGGGTCCACCCCACGGTTGCCAAGTAGGAATGGGGGCCCAGTGTAGCCAGATCGAGTGTTTCCTGAAAAACTAGAAAAAACTAGAAATGAGAAAAATTAGAAATCTAGATTCTTTTAAGTGAAATCCTCCATTTTTTAAAATTGGCAGCTAGTTACAGACAAACTTTTAAACACCACGATGGTCAGACAAAACTCAGCTGTGGGCAACCAGTGTGCAGCGTCTTCTCTAGACCGTTTTCCCTCCTGCCATGGTGCAGATCAGGGAACCGGCTGGGGAAAGAGAGGGGCTAGGCGGCAGTTTCCTGACTCTCCACCAAAACCATTGGCTCCGCCCCAAACCTGAGGGTCCTGGAGCAGGATGTGGCCTTTGCAGGGGTGTGGCTGGGCCACCCGGATGTTAGGGTTCCTGCTGGGAGCTCAGCCGCACCCTGTTTGCTCAAGGAGGGGCCAGAGCAAGTGAGTTAACCCAGCGGGGCAGCAGTTAACCCAGATGTAAGGGCAGCTCCAGTCCTCTCTCCCTCGGCCACCCCCAGCCTTGGTTCAGGGGACCCACAGGAGCCTGGCACCAAAAGCAGCTGGGCCGGTTTGGGGGGACAGAAGGGGTCATCCCGAAAGAGGCAGACAGTGTGGCAAAGGAAAAGGAGACCAGGTGCTGGAATCTCAGCGATGGTGGTTCAAGTCTCAGTTCTGCCGTTTGTTATCTGCATGGCTTTAGGCCAATTACCTAACCATCCTGAACCTTAGTCTCCCGCACCTGTACAATGGTGAGAATAACAGCACCATTCTCCTAGGGGGGCTGTAAGGGTCAGTGAAGTCCTTTTGTAAAGGCCCTCAGCCTTCTTGGAAAACCAAAAGGAACTGAGGGGGGAGGGGAAGTGGTGGGACTTCAGACACAGTGGGAGCTGGAAAAAAGCTGGGAGAAGCCACATGGCACTGAGTTTCTTCCACCTGGCACAAAGGGAGCTTAAAATAAAAAGTTACATTGAGTTGGCTCCCTCTGTAACCCCTCTCTCAAGTCAAGGAGATCAATGGGTGGGGCCAGCACCTTCTCCAATCATCCTTCCTTCTTTCTCTATCCGCCAGAGGAGCAGGGAGTCACAACCAGCCCTGCCTGGGGCAGGACAAGGGGTGGTCCCAGGCCTCTCAGAGGTGGTGACTGTGTTTCCCACTGTAGGTCCAGACCCTCAGACCAGAAAGCCTCCTGCTCGTGTCCACCCTGGATGGAAGTCTCCACGCACTGAGCAAGCAGACGGGGGACTTGAAATGGACACTGAAGGATGGTGAGCAAAAGGCGGTCACTCCTCCCTCCTTGGACCCCAAATTGGGGCGGGGGGGCATCACTGAGACATAGAGGATAAGAACACGGGGTCTAGAATCCAACCAGCAGTGTCTGCAGGCAGCTTCACCACCTACCAGCCGTGTGGCGTTGGGAAAGTCACTTCTCCTCTCCGAGCCTCGAGGTCCTCACCTTGCCTCACGGAGGTCTTGGGAGGGTTACATTACACACACGTCAAATGCTTGGCTTGGTGTCTGGCACACAGTAAGCACCCAGTGAATATGAGCTGTGCTTTCCAGTGGGGAGTCTGGAGGGGGCTACTCATGCTCCGTGTCCCTGTCCCTGTCCCTGCAGATCCCATCATCCAAGGGCCAATGTACGTCACGGAGTAAGTGAACCTGTGGTCTTTTAAGGAGGGGCCATCTGGGAGATGGGGAAGCCGTTGTTGTCTAGAGGGTGTTCAGTGGGGAGGAGGGGAGCATGTTGGAAGTAAAGGGAGGAAATTTGGGTCTGGCGCTCTCTGGTGCCTCCTGCAAGGGTGGGCTCCTGCTAGCTGGGAAGGTGGAGGGACAGGGGGCCTTCATGAAACCAGGGGGCGTACACCCAACCTTCCCTGTGTTCTTCTCTGCTCTGCAGGACAGCCTTTCTCTCAGACCCAGCTGATGGCAGCCTGTACATCTTGGGGACCCAGAAACAACAGGGATTAATGGTGTGTTTCCTACGGTGCTTGGGAAGGGAGAGGGCCAGGGCTTCTGTGAGCCAGAGCACTGAAGGGGTAGAAGGAGCTGTGTGGTCAGAATCTGAGTGTCCTGCAGAGGGTTAAGTCAGGGCTCTGAGTGCATTATGGGAAAGCTATCTGGAGGGACCTGTCGACAGGAGGTGGTGGGGTGGTTCTGGCTGTGTCTGCAGAGCAGGCTAACTCTCAGGCCTCTGAGGGCACCACCGGAGCTTCTCCAGGACTCTGAGAGTTTTAGGTAGCGACCTATATATCAGTCAGCTTTTGCTAAGTAACAAATCGTCCCAAAACTCAATGGCTTAAAACACAAACAATTGATTTAACTCCCAATGTTGTGGGATGACAATGTCGGCCAGACTCAGCTGGGTGATCTTGACTGAGCTTGCGCAGGCATCTGTGGTCAGCTGCTGCTCACCTAGACGGCTCTCTTTCTGAAAGTTGGTCGGGGGTTGGCTGGGTTTTGACGGAGGCAGCCGGGCCATGTGTCTCTCGGCCTCCAGCAGGCAATCCTGAGCTTGTTCACGTGGAATCAACTAGGGAACCAAAGCAGCAAGAGAGGGCAAGGCCAGTGCACAAGCTCTTTTCAAGCTTCGCTTGTATCACATTCGCTAACGTCTCATCAACCAGCCCTGGTGGTCTAGTGGTTAAGATCCGGCACCACTGTGGCCCGGGTTCATCTCCCAGTCAGGGCGCCACACTACCTGTCTGTTGGTTGTCAGACTGTGGCGGCTGCGTGTTGCTGTGATGCTGAAAGCTATGCCACTGGTATTTCAAACACCAGCAGGTTCACCCATGGTGAACAGGTTTCAGTGGAGCTTCCAGACTAAGACAGACTAGGAAGAAGGAGCTGGCCATCCGCTTCCAAAAAAATTGGCCATGAACACCTGTGAATAGCAGGGGAGCATTGCCTGATAGAGCGCTGGAAGGTGAGAGGACGGCGCAGAAAGACCAGGCAGGGTCCCACTCTGCTGTACCCCGGGTCACTAGGAGTCGGAATCAACTCCATGGCACCAACACAAAATGTCTCATCAGCCAAGGCAAGTCACGTGGCCCAGCACAGAGTCAAGTGGTGAAGAAATAGACTCCACCTGTTTACAGGAGGAGCTGAAAAGTCACCTTGCACAGACATACACGGGGAGAGGAGGAACTTGTGGCCATTTTTTCCATCTTCCACATCAGGACTCTGATGGGGGCTGTTGAACACAACTCTGGATTATCACAGGGAGTCGGGTGGAATGTGCTTCGTCAGAATTCTGAAGCCTACCAGAAGTCTTAAGTGTGTGATTTAGGAAGCTGTGTAGCAAAATGGTTCAGTGTGCTTGTTCTGGAAACTATCTGCCTTGGTTCAGGGCCTGGCCCTGCCACTCACTAGCTGTGTGACGTTAGCCAAGTTACTTAGCCTCTCTGGAAAATGGAAATTATAATAACTGTACCGAGTGAAAGTCTGTCTGTGTTTCTCTGCTCTCGTTCCTTCCTGGAACGTCTCCCTCTCCTTAGAAACTGCCCTTCACCATCCCGGAGCTGGTTCATGCCTCCCCATGCCGCAGCTCCGATGGGGTCTTCTACACAGGTAAGCACCTTTCCAGCCTGTGGGTCCAGGTCTGGCCAGCAGAGACAGGGACCTGGGTCATGATGGGCCAGCTGTCCCATGATAGGACAAACACCTTCACCCATGCCATCTTGAGAGCTGGCCTACTTTCCACCTCCACAGGCCGGAAGCAGGATGCCTGGTTTGTGGTGGACCCTGAGTCAGGGGAGACACAGATGACACTGACCACAGAGAGTCCCTCTACCCCCCTCCTCTACATCGGCCGAACACGTGAGTCAGGCCCCAGCTGCTCCCCAAGCTCTGAGCAGCCCCCCGCTTTGCCCTGCCCAGGTCTGGCAATTGCTATCCAAGTTGAATCTTGGATAGCAATTGCCAGATAGCCAGTCAGTCAATCTGTCAGTCAACAAACATTTCACTGAGCACTGAACAAGGAGCTGGGGGTACAGCAGTAACCAAAACAGACCTGGTTTCTGCCACTGTGTTGTTCACAGACTCTGGCCTCCAGGCCAGGTGCTCAAGCACTCGCCCCCACAAGATGATGTCCCCTGGGGTGGGGGTGGGAGGAGTGTCAGCTGGGTGTGCTTGGTAACCTTGCTTCTGGGCATCCCCAGAGTACACAGTCACCATGCATGACCCCAGGGCCCCTGCCCTACGCTGGAACACCACTTACCGCCGCTACTCAGCACCACCCATGGATGGCTCGCCTGGGAAGTGTGAGTGCCACCTTTCTCTGGCCCCACCTTGGAGCAAGGCCCCCAACTCAGGGAACCCTGGGTGGCATCCACGACTAAGCCCCATCGCATTCTGACCCACTTGACCTCATCAGGGACCCCGCATACTGAATGACACACCCTGATGGGTGACCTAAGTGACCCCTCCACTCCCAGCCTGACCGTCCTGTACCGAGAGCCCTTGACATCCTAGCTCCTCCGCACTCCACGGGAGCCCAACTAGGGCACCCTGGGGGACTCCCCACATCCTGAGTGACCCCAAGCAACCCTCATACACCCTGAGCAGTCCCCACATGTCCTAACTGATCCCCAATGTTGAACGACCCCTGACAGATGACCCTAAGTGACCTCCTCCCAGACTGAGAACCCCCTCGACATGACTGTCCTACCCAACTGCCTGAGTGACCTCGTAGGTGCCCCATCAACCCCTTCTACCCTGACTCTCTCAGTCTGCATGAGAACCCACACAGGTAACCCTGACACATCACAAATGACACCCCCAGGGCCCCTGACTGACCCCCTTCACACTCTAAATGTCTCCCAAGTGACCCACATGCCTCCGGGCCACCCTGGTTGGCCGATCTTGGGTGACCATCAGTCAGACCATGACTGACCACCCCACATCCTAAGTGATCTCTCTCTGGACTGACTCACACACCTGAGTTACCTTTGGATGACCCTGACTGACCCCTGCATCCTGCCCAGCTCCTCAGTTGCCCCTGACTGACCCCCTGACTGACTGAATGATCCAGTGACCTCAGACTGACCTTCCCATGTCCTGATAACCCTCAGGTGATCTCACCTGACCTCATACACCTGAGTGGCCCTCCTCATGGCCCACCCTCAGAGCAGCTCCCCACCCCAAGATGCTCCAAGGTGCCTCACGTCAGAGCTCCCTGACCATATCTCCCCAGCCATCTTTCTTGGCAGACATGAGCCACCTGGCATCCTGTGGGATGGGCCTGCTGCTAACTGTGGACCCAGGAAGTGGGGCGGTGCTGTGGACACAGGACTTGGGCGTGCCTGTGATGGGCATCTACACCTGGCACCAGGACAGCCTGCGCCAGCTACCCCATCTCACACTGGCTCGGGACACCCTGCACTTCCTCGCCCTCCGCTGGGGCCACATCCGGCTGCCTGCCTCGGGTCCCCAAGACACAGCTACCCATTTCTCTGCCTTGGACATCCAGTTGCTGTAGGTGCCCATGCCTGGGGAGTGGGGAGAAGCCCTCTGGAAGTGCTGTTGCCCAGGCCCATGGGCAGGCATGATGTTTGACCTTGACACACCAGTACAGCTGAATCAGGGGTCAAAATATTTCAAATTGGTTTTTTGCCAAACTGCTTGGTAAATAACCAGTGCCCTGCACCCACCCCCCCCACCATCTGCTTCTAGGATCCCCTGGATAGCCCCACTGCTCGGCAACTGATAGAGTAAAATCTGGCCTAGGAGGGGCCTCCAGGTCTCTACTCCAAGGCTACAGCCAGCACCTGTTCTGCTTGGTAGGTGCTGTGCCTCATTGATTGTTAAAGACTAAATGTCACCCTTCCTTATAGCATTGAATACCTTAGTGTCCCCGTCTTGGAGAATCAAGAGACAGTCTAGGAAAATCATGGATTATCCCTTCACTTTGTTTGCTCCACAAATATTAATTGACCACTTACTATGGACCAGTCACTTGTTAGGCTCTGGGAGTACAATAATACAGCCAGTGTTCCTACCTATAGAAACTCTCAGAGTCTAATAGGGGAGACAGGGTGTGTAAAGGGGCAATTATAATATGGTATGATAAAGGATGATACAAGAGAAGTATAGATTTGCCGTGGGAATATATAGGAAGGGTAGCTTAATTGAGACTGGGGGTGGGAGGCAGTCATGGAAAGCTTCCTGGAGGAAGGGATATCTAAATTGAAACCTAAAGGATGAATAGGATATAAAAGAGAGAGAAAGCATAGCAACCAGGGAACAGAAAGAAATTTAATAAGACTGGAGCATAGACCTGAGCAGGGAATAAGGTCTGAGACTAAGTTAAGCAGGGATCTGTAGGGTCATTTAAAGAGTTTGGACATTTTCTCCTAGAAGAGAAGTAAGGAAGAGTCACTGGAGGGTTTTAAGCAAGGAAGTGATTTGATCATATTTTCATTTTGGAAAGATAACTCTGGCTGCACTGTGAACAATATTGTAAGAGTGTCATAGGGGAGGAAGTGGATGCTTATAGAATATTGCATTAGTTCAGGCAAGAGATGAAGACACTTTGGACTAGAGTGGAAACACTAAAGATGGAAATAAGTGGAAGGTAAGAGATATTAAGAGGAAAAACCAGTAAGAATTTGGTGATTAGCAAGTTTGGTGATTGTGAGCAAGGAGTCAAGGGTCATGCTCAGGTGTCTAGAAGCGTGTGGGTGCTGTCATTTTCAGAGGTAGGGAGCACTAGAGGAGGAAGGGGAGGAGAAGGAGGAGGAGGAGGGGGAGGTAAGGAATGAGGTGATGAGTTCAGATGCAGAAAATTGAGCTCTTGAAAGAGGTCTGGGCTAGGCATAGATTTAAAAACATTGACTATAGAGTTTGTATCAGTTAGCTTTTGCTGCATAACAAGCCACCCCCAAGACTTAGAGCTTCAAAACAACAAACATTTATTATTTTTCAAGATTCTTTGGGTAGGTGGTTGGTTTTTCTGGTCTAGGCAGTCTTAGTTAGGCAGGCTGACTAACTGGTCAGGTTTTTCTGGTCAGGCTGACTAGGCAGTCAGATGGTGATCCTGGACGATCTAGGATGGCCTCACTCACCTACATCATAGTTGGTGGACTATTTGGTCTAGGGGGTGTCAAATAAGGTCTCTCGTGCCCCAGCAGGCTACCCTAGCTTTCCTACATGGTGGTCTCAGGGTTCCAAAGAACAACGCGAGAGGACAAGCTCCAGTGCACAAGCACTTCTCAAGCCTCTGTTCGTGTCACATTTGCTATTTGTCTCACTGGCCAAAGCAAGTCACATGGCCAAGCCCAGAGTCGATGTGGGAGGGGACAAGACAAGGACATGGGTACAGTGATAACTGAAACTACTCACCACCATCACTCAGCCTTCTCCTCTTTTTCCTCTCCCCAACTAGGATGACGCTGTATGTAGGGAAGGATGAAGCTGGCTTCTATGTTTCCAAAGCACTGGTTCACACAGGGGTGGCCCTAGTGGTGAGAAGGGATTTCTGAGGGGCTGGAGAGAGGGGATGAGCGGGAGAGGAGCCCCTCTTACTCATGAATCTTCATCTCTGCCATAGCCTCGTGGACTGACCCTGGCCCCCGTGGATGGCCCCATCACAGAGGAGGTGACACTCCAAGTCTCAGGAGAGCGAGAGGGCTCACCTAGCACTGCTGTCAGATACCCCTCAGGGAGTGTGGCCCTCCCTAGCCAGTGGCTGCTCATTGGTAAGATCCTCTGGCTCAAATCTGGAATAGATGAACATGAAGGACCTGTGAGCCCAGCTTCTGAGCTGAAAGACTGAGGTCACCTTCAGCCTACTGACTTTTGCCCTGCCCCTTAGGACACCATGAGCCACCCCCAGTCCTGCATACTACCATGCTGAGAATCCATCCAGCCCCAGGGAGTGGAACTGCTGAGGCCAGACCCTCAGAGAGCACTCAGGCTCCAGCCTTCTTCTTGGAGGTCAGTGCTAGAGGGGCAGAGGACATGGGGGGAGACTCAGCCGGTGGGCGGGCAGCCCTTGGGCCTTTTCCTCAGACTTCTAGGAACAACATTTAGGGGTAGGTCAGTTGACTTCACATAGTTTCCCAGAAGAAAAAATTTTGTTTTGTTATTGCCAGAAATGTGTTAGAAGTGTCAAAAGATATTGGTTATCTAAATTGTGAAACATGAATCACAGTTTTCTTTATTATTCTTCAACATAAAAGTTACAAAACATTTATACAGTGAGAAAATGAAAACAGAAAAACTATAAAAGCATGCTCTCCTGGGAGAGGGCTGGACAAGAATCACCAGTAGTTTAAATTAAGAAGGAACAGCCATGACCTGGAACAATAATTCTCAAATCTGGTTGCTCATCAGAATCGCCTGGGAGCCTACTCCAGACCCACTGAATTCAGAATCTCTGGAGGTGGATATCTGCATTTTTTTGGTGATGCCCCAAGAGTATCTATATTTTTCAGTGACACTGCAGGAGATGCTGGTCATCAGCTAGGTTTGGAAGACGGCTCTCCTGGGGCACCATGATGTTTCAGCACCACGGAGAGTGCCATGTTTCCCACCATACAGACCACTCACTCACTGCCCCTTTAGCTAAGCCCAGCCCTGTACTGGGTGATGAAGAAGGGTTAGGGGTTCCACAGCGGGAGGGGGTGTGTAAGAGTGAAAGCCCCTTTGTCCCCAGCTCCTGAGCCTGAGCCGAGAGGAACCTTGGGACCTGGAGTTGCATCCTGAAGAGAAAACCGCAGACTTGCATCCAGGGCTGGGACCCCAAGACCTGCTGGCAGCTAGCCTCACTGCTGTCCTCCTGGGCGGGTGGATTCTCTTCCTGATGAGGCAGGTAAGCCCATCGTCCCTGGCCTCAGGTCCGTGTTAGGGTTTTCCTGGGGGGAACTCTGCTCCTCCTCTCCCAGGCCACTCGATGACTCTTTCCCTCACACGGCTCCGATTCTGCCCCCTGCCTTCCTCCCAGCAGATCCCCGAGCCCCAGCTGCTGTGCTCTGTATGTTCACGCTCCAGTGCCAGGCCATCTCAGGCACAGCTGCTGGGCCCACCACGGGGCAGGGCCTGGCAGGGCCGAGCCCTCTTAGGCCCTCATATTTCAGCAGCAGCAGGATCCGCCGGCACCTGCAAGCCCTTCTCACGTCTCACAGGATGCCCAGTGCCAGCTCTTGGGCGCCACCTCACGGGACCTCCAGAGCCCCTCAGAGCAAGCCCAGCCACTTGAAGACCCTGAAGGTGAGTTTGAGTGAACAGGAAAGGGCAGAGTCAGGGACAGAGAAAAAAAGAGGGGGCAGGTTTAGCTTCAAAGTTGGTTTATTAGAAGCCACTATAGTGGGGTGGCTAAGCCTAAATGAGCTAATCAGAGAGTGTTTCAAACAGGGCCTGCCAGGCAGTTGAGCACTCTGGAAATGTCTGCCATCACATTTTATTGTTGTTGTTATTGTCAAGGACTCTGGATGCAGCTAGGGCTGGGTATAGATCTAACTCCACTCTGTTAACGTTGACGAATTGCTTAACACCTCTGAGCTTCAGTTTTCTCATCTGTCAAATGGGAATAATAACACCCACTTCATTGTGAGAGGTTACCATCATCATTGTTATTAAATCGTACCTAGTGATGTTGTTAACATTTGTGTTAAAATAACATCATATTGGGTAAGAATAATAGTAAATAACTTAGGTACAATTTGGCACCTTTTCTCTTCTTTTTACTTTTTAAACATTTCTCTCCTCTTTTCTCAATTTAATCCTATAAACGAGCCCTTTCAAGCTTCCTCTGGTGTTCGTGGGATGCTCCAGGGATTTCTCACATGCTGTTGTTGGTCCATCCAGGGTACTTCTCCTGCTTCTCTGGCTCTGGGCTGGGCTGGCCTTTGGTCGTTTGCGTGAACTGTTGCTGGCACCTCCTCGTCACTGCTCAGACCACTACCTCCTGCCTTGGAGCCACTCTGCTGTCACCTTAACTCAGGCTGAAGTCTGTCCCTCACTTGGCTGGATGCTCCACTGCTGTTCCCAACATTCACCCTTGTGTTCTCCTTGCCTCTGCTGAGAGGGAACAGCCCCCCTTCCTCGGGGGCCAGCTCTTTTAGGGAGTCCCCCAACACAGAGTTGCCTGAGCCCTGAGGTGCTACAGTTCCTGTCACTTTACTGGCTCTGGGTGGGTCCACATATAACACACCCCACTGCACCCTGAAACGCTCATCTCCTTGGACCTTCTGACTTGAGCTGGGTCTTTCCCAGACAACCCAGACTCCATCTTTTCACAGGGTAGTTCTCATCAAAGGGCCCTGTGGTCCCCTACCATTGTCCTTCAGTTGTCCCTCACTCACAGTCCGTTGGACCCCAGTCATTGGCGTGATGGAATTCCTTCCCCAGATGTCTCCTTGATTGTCTGTGTCAGTAGATACCAATAATCCTTGGAGGAATAGAAAAGGGAATGTTGAATCCCAGCCCCGGCTCAGCCAGGACACCTTATTATATAAAATATCTAGACTCCTTTACCCACTATAAGAAAATAATCAAAGTGTTATCAAGGCTTCAGAACAAGAATTCAAGAAAATAAAACACGCAGATAGAGCATGGGACCTCTGTTATGAAACTCAGTGATAACTATCTCTACATAATACTGGATTTCCTCTGTAATTAAAAAAACTTTTCTATTTCTTTCACTGTCTTTGTTTAAAGTGCTAATAAACTCTTTACTTTGGCATTTTCATCACCTCTAGGCAAAACCTCGGTAGGACATGCATTAGGTGATGTGATAAATGCTGTCATGGTGGGGTCACATAGGCAGCTGTGGGAACACAGAGGAGGGGCATGTAACTCAGATGTGGGGAAATAGAAAGTGTCCTCGGGGGCTGGCCTCGTGGCGTAGCAGTTAAGTTCGCGCGCTCTGCTTTGGCAGCCCAGGGTTCACAGGTTCAATCCTGGGCACGGACCTATGCACCGCTTATCAAGCCATGCTGTGGCAGCGTCCCGTATAAAGTAGAGGAAGATGGGCACAGATGTTAGCCCAGGGCCAAAGGAGGATTGGCAACAGATGTTAGCTCAGGGCTAATCTTCCTCACACACACAAAAACGTGTCCTCAAAGTGATGTCTAAGCTGTGATCCCAAGGATAAGAAGGAATTACCAAGTGAGCAGGGAGGAGTGGGGAGGAGCATTGTAGGTGGCACCAACAGCACAGGCAAAGGTTCAGAGATGAGAGAAAGCAGGGGACACATCCTGGAAGCAGAAAGGAGGGTTGCGAACTTATGCTTATGGGTAGGTCAGCAGGATAAAGTAAACGAGTGAAGCAGCTACATAGGGGAGAGAATAGGGAGTGGTAGGGACTGTGGCAAACTGGAGAACAGGTACCCTGTCTAAACTGCAGTGGCTAAGCCCGTCTTGCTACAATCTCTTGACACAGAGTATGGCTCAGTGAATATCTGTTGGATCAATGGCTGACACTGGGCACTGGAGATTCTTAAACAGCACTTCTCAACTCAATAAATACATACGAATGAATATGTACTGATCAGGTATGAGAAACAGGCAGAGGTACAGTTAATAGGCTGATTTGCCCATCTGATATGCAGCTATCGAGTGTATCGAAATCTTGATTTAGTCCAGGGGGAGTCAAATAGATGAATGTGGCTGATGGCAGAAAAGCTCCAAGAACCACTCTCTGAAAAAACCCTCTAGCACCAGCCCCTTGTGGCAGCCTCTAACCTATTCTTAGAACATCTATGTCAGGAACCCTGAACTTGGAAGTCTTGCTCTTGCTCTCTTGGTGCAGGGAGAGGGACATTCCTCATGGACCTTTCTATGGCTCACAAAATCTACAGAGGAGTCACATCCTACTCTCATTGAACTTCCACAAATTCATCTACACGTGCTTGGTTGGGTCCTTCAGGACCGCCGGCTACATAGTATATTCAACAGCAAGTGGATGCAGTCAAGCCAAAGCTTGATTGGCTGAAACAGAGCTAACATTAGAGCTAACAGTTATATAGCGCCTGCTGTGTACCAGGCACTGTCTAAAAGCTTTGCGTGTATTAACTCGTATGATATTCACAGCATCCCTGTGATGCAGATACTATTATAATGCCTGGCTTATGGAAGAGGAGAAGAAGGCAGAAAGGTTCATGGTACTCCCACCCCAGCTCACAAAGCCAGTTAAGAGGAGGCTCAGGGATTCAAAGGCAGGTCAGCTGTGGGACACTACCTCTGTTTGCACTTTGGCAAACTGACTTGAAGCGTTTCCCGGTGTAAAATCAGCAGCAAAATGCATCACGTGTTCTCAGGATTTTCAGAGGTAATTCTGACTGCACACTGTTTCCCCCTCATATGACAGCCTTTGATTACTCTAGAACTTCACTCCTGCATTTGCTCCTGCTGCGTTATAATGATGTAGAAGGCTGAGCCAAGTGATGGTGCATCTGGGTGTGCAGACTAAGCCTCCCGCAGCTCATTATTTTTGCATTCAAGGCCTTCATGGCCATAAGTCTGGCCTCCATCCTAGCATTGAGGGTGCTCCTGAATATCTAACCCAGAAAGCACATAGTGAGTGTTTACCCCACGCCAAGGGCATTGAGAGAGGGAAGGCAGACACACAGGAGACAGGAAACCCAGCAAAACCAAATGAGCGGTACAAAAGAGCGGCCAGAAGTGCTCAGGGCCCCTCACATGGAGCCAGCTGAGCAGGGCTTGTTCCGACAGGCTTTCCAGCAACTCCGTCCCTGCTTTTCGAGCTGCCGGAGAGACGGGCCCACTCTTACCTGTGGGTGATGTGCTTCCAGCAAGGCCATGCGCCCACCCACCCCTGAGAGTCCAGGGCACACAAATTTAAGTGATTGCCTGCATCTTGCCCACAGAGGGGAGTGAATGTTTCAGCAAAGAACCCAGAGAGATGCTGAGGGACAGCTTGGTACTTCTCTCACTGATCCCTGAGGCTGATTTGCATTTGCTTTTCCTAAAGCTGATTGCAGAGACCGAAGCTGGCAGCTCTTCCTACGTAGAGTGTTCTCAGGGCCCCTGAGGGGTGCACAACTCTCGGGGCACCCGATACGTTCAGCTGTATGAACGGTGCCCCTTGGAGCTGAGCAGCGCACGGCCTGCCCAGACGTGTCTGGGTCACTGTGAGGGGTCTCTTGCAAGCTCCCCAAAGAGAAGAGCAGTAACTGTCCACATCTACAGCCCTCGGCTACCTGAGCCAGCCCCACCCTGCTTAACAGGAAACCAAGGCCTTCCGGGGGCTCCCTGCCACCCTAGGACAGTTACTCCAACTGGGGCAGCTTCACATCCAGATGCCCACTGCTCCCCCTCCTGTCTGGGGCAGTCTTCTCTGCGACCGCACCCCCCCCACACACAGTGCTTCTAACCGCCCAAGCTCACCTTCCTGTTGGAAGCCAATTCCTCCATTTAAAGGGTTTATTATAAATGTTAGAGGTAGGGCGAGTGACAGAGGAAGTAAAAACCTGGGCAGAAAATGCCAAACGAGGGAGAATGATGAAAGAGGATACTATATCAAACCTCACCCCCACCTTTCTTCCATTTATTCATTTAATCTGCAATAATTCTGTACGGGATTATTAACACGAGTCCTGCTTTACAGAGGAGAAACCCGGGGCACAGCGGTTAAGTAATTTGCCCAAGGACACACAAGGAGTAGGTGGCAGCTGGCTGCAGGCTGGGCATGGAAGTCCAGAGAAAGGTGGAGA